GCCCCCTCGGCTCTGGCCACCCCTGGCCGAGGGCGGCCAGCGGGACCTGCTGCTCCCCACGGCCGCTGGCCACGGACAGGAACTCGTGCCGGCCAGGGCCGGCGGGCGGAACGCCGTCGGGTGCCGTGTCACAGAAACTGTCACAGCTCACACGTGCTTTAGAATTTCACAGCCCTTTCTATCAGCACCGCTGCTGGGGATGAAATAAAGGGGACAAACTGTGAACCCTCTCTGAAAGGAGTAACAGGCTTTCCGTATCATTTTCCCGGCAGGATCAAACAGCGCCTCGTACCCAGAGCAGAGCTCCAAATGCCAGTGCCGCAAAACACACACTGAGAGGGACACAAAACACGTCCCACACCACATGAGCCTCCGGAACATCTGACAGCCGTTCACACAATTAAGTCCATCGTAGCAAATACCTTTCTTTCACAGATAAAGCAGGTAAGCAGATCAGGCACTCTCTATTAGGTTACTCAGAAATTGGCTTAAGCCAAGAAAGGGATTTAATTCAGAATTTGAAGCTGATGTTCTTTGCTTAATCTTCTTGGTTCCAGATATTAACACATCTAGGATATATTAGTGCGTCAATATCCGGATGAGATGTAACGAATTAAAGTTATGGATGTCTTTTTTGTTATGTGTTTAGATGGAGTTTTGGCTTTACCCTGCCGAGCTGCTGGCTGGCACAGGTCAGCAGGCACAGCACTGCCAGTACAGCGGAGAAAAGAGTGAGAGAGTTACTCATGTATCAAATTACTTCTCCAGCGTAAGGGCTGCGTTTTCCTCAGTCCCACAAAAAGGAGTGCAAACTGTGAGCTGGGAAATGGTGACATCCAGCGCTCAGACATTACGTACGGAGTTCTCATCCCTGCCGTGCTCCTTTGTGCTTGTTCCGATGGACAGACACCCTCAGTGCTCGATGTCACAGCAAAGCAGGGCAGGCACAGCCAGATCAGACCCCTCCGCTGCCCGTAACAGCAAACCAACTCATCCCAAACGTGAGATCGTGCACAGAGATCTTTTTACAATCGGTGTGTTAATAAACCCCAGCAAGAGCCAGCTGCCCGCTTACTCATTCACAGGAAGCACACGTAGTAGCTTGAATTGCTACGAACTTAATTTAAAGACTACCAGAAATCACTGAAAAACACAGGGAAGAAGTCCACTGGTGCTGGCACATGGGACAGGTTCCACCCTCTCCAAGGCAGATTACAAAGAGCTCCTCAAAGCTGAGGTAACGTTTCAGACACATTGGGATCTTTTGTACTTTTCTTTAAATTCAGCTAGCATCCCAGTCTGGAAGGACTGAGAGTACGAGAGTTATTTTCAATGGTGGAGGAAAAAAAACCCCAAAGTGGTAAAATACTAGAAATAACACTGAAACAAATTTCAAATTAAGCCAATTCAATCCAAGGAGAAAAGAAACAGCTCCATTTGGAAAGATGACCTGGGCAGTGAGAACTGCATTTCTCTAGGGAATCTAAGAGGAGCTTCTTGCTCAGACATCCCCAGATCCTCAAAAGTCTTTTTGGAGACCGGGATTGAATTACAAGCTAACTAAAGTGCCTGACACCTGCCAAACTAGCTACATTTTCATGTCTGAAGGTTGACTAGCACCTGAGCTTAGAAACCCGTCAGCTTAGAGAGCAGCTGCCAATCAATCAGACCTCTAATACTCCTATCCAAACCCTGGTTTCCCCCATCCTCGGACAAGAGCAGCTCCCAGAGAGGAGCTCTGCCGCAGTGGCGCTCCAGATCACACAAGTGTTCAGAAATCCTTCCCAGCACACAGCTTGTTGTGCACAAGCCAGAAGAGCGTGCAGAGATGCACTTTTACAGCCCCACTCCCAACAGTTTTTGTAAAAATCAGCATTGCTGGAACCAGAACAGACCCGTGCTTAGTTATGACATGTAATAAATAATTCATTTGCAAGAGAGGTTGTTCCTTCCTTTCCCCAGCACATGCAAAGGAGGCTCGGATGTGCTCAATACCTGCATAAATATATTCCTTTCAATACAACAACTGTAGGAGGCTTAAATATTATTTTATGTTCTTGTAAAATTTAGGTCACCTTTATTAGTTATGGTTTCTGTACGTCCCAGTCACATTTAAAGTCAGATAGTGCCTGTACAAGCAGCCTGCTGGCTGCTGGAGCACACTGCCTCATGCTCAGCAGTTACTCAAGGATGGCAGGAGTCCCAGTTAGCAGGGCTGCAGCCGCTCAGCCTCAGTGCCCCGTGGCACCAAGGAGGAATAAAAGGGGAATTTGGAACAAGCTGATGCACAACCACCACCGCCCATGGAAGCACTGCGGCAGAGACAGCTGTGCTGCTCCAGAGACAGCTGTGCTGTGCTTGCACCACCCTGGGCTGGCTCCTGCAGACTGCCACCACGTGCCCTTCCACGGACACAAAGAACCTGGAGCCAGAACGGCTCTAAACTGAAGTTTAAAAATAGTTAATTGTTTTTTAATTAAAACTCTTGCCCTAGTGAATTCCTTAAGACCAAACGTGTTGTGGAAACGTAAAAAAAAAAGAGATTAAAAAAGTCTGGTGTGGTGTGCCGCAGTTACCTTCTAGATTTTCGAGGAGGTTTCCACCAGAAAGCTGTATTTGGGCACGGCAGTGGAATGTGTGTCATCACGAGCAGGCGGCTGCGGGCAGCGCGATGCTCCCGCGGCTCTGCGCTCCCGGTCCCCATGGAAACCGGACTCGGATATTGTCCTCCGCTCGCTGGAGCACCAAGTCGGGAGCCTTTTGTGCCTGATGAGATTTCTTCCACAACCTTCCAGCAACAGACCCTACAGCTTCCTCCTGACTCTTTCCTAATTGAGATGCAAATTAATCTCTGTGGCTGATTACACTTCCCTTACAGCCCCTGACAAGTGCAGCTGTAGCCGGAGTTTACAGACTTTCCAACAAGTGACTTCAGCTGTCACTGCTGGCAGGACGCTGCCCGGCTCCCCAGCAGCACGCAGGGCTGAGTCCCTGCAGGTCCTTCACAGCCTGCCACTGCTCCAGCACTGCTCCCCACGGAACCGCTGGCACCAGAGGGAGTGTTTGATCCGAACCTCTTCAGCTACCGACCCCCTTAGGGATAAGTACCTTTAACGTGACCCATGTGTCAAAGAGAAGCTCTCATCCCAACCACAGTTAAGACTGGTGTGCACCAAACATCATCCCTCACTTTGCCAGGAACACTGCCTTCTATTTCTCCCTCCCACTGACATTTTTTGAGCTATTTCCACCTCTGGTCCGATCAAGGCACTTTCATTTACTTCACTTGCACTGCTTGGCTCCTGTCCTGCTCGCAGCAGCTGGCACAGCAAGCCCCGGACCCGAGGCACTCAGCCTGTGACAGGGTGAGTGTCACAGACCCTGGGATCCGCCCTGGACAGGCCCAAGCATCACCTTTACACATCCACACACTCTCACTGCAACCGCTGGCTTCGGCGTGTCACAGTCTGCATTGTCCACGAATGAATTACAGATCGCTTTCTGCCCCGCTCCAGCATCGCCCCGATGGGATCTGCCCACCCACCACATCCCCTTCATCCCACCTCAGGAGTTTCTCAGTCCACTTTCATTTATCAGACAGACAAGTGGCAGTGCATTCACTAAGGACAGCACTGGTGCGACAGCAGACGCAGAAAAAGGCGGACGAGAATGCGGGGCCAGATGAGCTCTGAGCTGCACGGAGCAGAGCCCTGTGCTGCTGTGTCTGTGCAGCTCTGCACCCTGGGACCCTCAGGGACACCCCTGGGACACCCCTGGGACCCTCAGGGACACCCCTGGGACAGCAGGAGCACGGCCAGCTGGGGAGCACTGCTCACACACAGAATGCTCAAGGCCAAAACACGGGAGGAGTGAGGGGCCGTGACAGCTCCCTTCGTCCAGCTGCTGCTGCTCAGGCCATTTCACTGCACTGTTACTTCAGTATTCAACACTGAGAAACAGACCAAGCCGAATTCTGTTTCAGGAATTTGTTAGATTCCTCTCAAGAAACAGAAGAAAACATAACAAGCCTTGACTCACCTGTCAGGCATTACCACGGTTTGCACAACCACTGCCATTACAATGAGTAAACAATTAGTTATTAACACGAATCTATTTAACCTCAATACTAGTTTTAATTTCTGAGGACTTTTGCAAAGTACACTGGATAAAATTTAGCCTTTAAAGAACCCCTAACGAGTATTTCGAGGATATCCTGTTTTAAAAATGTGCATCTCAAACTAATTCCTCGGTGTTCTTTCAAAGATCGAAACATTTCACAGCCTCTTTCTCCAAGTCACACGATTAGACAAACACTGAAATCAAGCACTCCCCAGAACAAGCAAAGTGTGGTGAGTGTTTGTCCTGAGGCAGGTGATGAGGTTAGCAGCAGAAGCTATGGAATGCACCATGGCATTATGAGAAGACCCCAGCACGGCGTCACAACTCCTGTCCCAGAGAAGCACATCCTCCAGCCACCTTTCCAGACACTGCTGGAAAACAGCTTCTCAAAATGCCCAAACACAGGCGTGGCTGGAGCGAAACTGGAATTTGGGACCTGCAACATCTGTATCTGAGGACAAATCCCATCTGTCTTATTAATGCAATGAGTCCGAGTGAAGTTAATTGGATAGGATAAGAGCACGGCTGAGCTCTGGCTACCAGCCTGACAGGCACAGTCCACAGCTTCCAGCTTGCTTTCACACTGACAGGAGCTAGCACCTCTCACAGACCAAAGCAGCAGTGCTGAGCCCCAGCCCAGCAGCAGTGAGATGGAAGCTGCTGGAGGGAGACTCCTGGGACGTTTCCATTCCATTTGGAAAACACCGGACGGCGGCTGGGACCGTACCACACGGACCAACCCACCAAAAACACCGAGCTGGACGCGAAGAAAGCCCCGAGCTCTGCCAGTGCAATCGAACAGGAAGGGTTTCCATGGCAGCCTACCTCTCTGCAGGACGATGCTCCGAGTGAGGGCCCTACCAAGGGTGGAGAAAGGATACAAGCTCTGGTAGAGCGGGATGAGGGACTTGACGGCTCTGCTGGCGTTGATGCACGTGGCACAGACCAGGCTGGGCAGCAGCTTCGCGGTCACGATGGCGCCGTCGAAGAGGGGACCGAAAAACGGCACCTGGGCACCCCAAAACAGAAAAGCAGGCTTCAGAACCACGGCAGGAGACTGGTACAGCATTTTGCCACCAAAGAGCGTGACCACGTTGTTTCCCACACTGAGACATTCATCCCCCACGCTGGTGAGCGTTTAAAGCGCCCACGACTGCCCTCAGCACGCTACACGGACACACACGCGTCTCAGAACACTCTGCTGGCTAAGCACGAGCTTGGTACACGTAAAAACTGAGGCCATCTCCGAATCTGCAATCAATATGCCTTTGGCAGGGGATATTAAGAGCTGCTTCCCATCTGGGATCCCAACAGGAGACCCTGATTCACTGCCCGACTCCAACATTGGCAGGAGGTTTTGCAAAGACGTATTTACTTCAGATAATCCTCTATAAACTCCTTCCGTGGACTTCACAGGAGAGAAAAAAGCCTTGAGCTGGTCCAGGATAAGGAGGCAAAGGGGACGGCAGAGCAGGGCTGGGACAGGCACAAAGGGCCCAGCCCAGCAGGTCAAGGTGCCCAAATGCTGCTCCTTCAGGGCCACCTCCACAGGAAACCCCTGGGTGACGTCCTCTGGTGACCTAAGGCTCTGCAGACAAAGACTGCACTAGCTACAAGAGACACTTCCTAAAAGTAAGCCATGTCCAGAACTGCAGACCCAGAAAACGTTGGTGTTTAAATACATAACTTTCAGTAGTCACAACTACTCAAATTCATTTCCCTCTCACAGACTCAAAATGAAGAAACCAACCCCCCGGCTGAAGCCCTAGACAGAAGCCAGCAGCAATTATTAATATTTAAGCTATGGATTTTTTCCATCTGTACAGAGGCTTATCACATAAATAAATACCCTCTATTATTCTTCTCCAACTGCTTGTGGGTGACTGTGACAGTCATTCAATAAATGGACAAAGGGAATAATATAAATCCCCTGCATCTAGGGAATTCCTCTAATTAGAAGTGGCAATGAATTACAGAAGAAATTTGGGTTTAATGTAACATCTGCAAATGACAGCTGTCTCTGCACACACTTATTCTGTCATTCCTTTACTTAAAATAATTACCCACCCCCCAAAAAAAAACCCAGAAAAGTGTAATATGTTTCCATAGCAGTTTTGCCTTCTTTTCAGTTTGTTTATTTACTGCTGGCATTACTATCCAGGAAGGGAAGTTGGAAGGGAAGGGGACGGAGGAAAATCTATGCCACCAAAATGATAACGTTACGGAGCATCAAGTTTTTGCCTCTTTAGGCAGTTACGTTTTTAAGTGAAATTTTCATCCCATGCACTGTCTAGAAGCATTGATGGCAAGAGAAAAGGATGTAAAAGTACAGATGAGGAGGCTAAGTGTGTCCTAAAGTGAGAGCACCACACAAACACCAGGAATGTAAAGTCAGATCAGCAGATGCTGCCGGGGCAGGGAAACTCCCTGCCGGCCTTTTTGGACAAGTGGGTTTTGCTTACAGCACTTGCAGCCAGGGTTTCACAGCCGGCAGGAGCTGGGGAGCGGGGCAGGCTGTGTCACCAGAGGATTCCCAGATTTAACCCACGTGTGTCCCAGCCAGGGAGAGCAGCAGCAGCAGCGGGGGCTGCGGAGCCATCCGAGCACAGAGCTGGGAATGGCTCATTCCCCAGCGCAGCCAGGGCCTGCCGAGGGTCACTGCACCCAGCCAGGGGAGCCCCACCCAGCCAGGGGAGCTGCACCCAGCCAGGGGAGCCCCATCCAGCCAGGGGAGCCCCATCCAGCCAGGGGAGCCCCATCCAGCCAGCTTCACTCATTCCCACGGGGGCTCTGCCCCAGCCAGGGCCGGGGGAGCCCCGCACCCATCACTCAGCCCGGGAGAACAGGGCTTCGGCAGCCACCACAAACAAACAGCCTGCTCTGACAGGAATCAATTAAAAAAAAACACAGAGGGAAAGATCCCCTTCTGTGAGCACTCCAAACGTCACTGCAAGTTTATCCGTGAAGCAAAAATTAATATTCGGCCCACTGCAAACACCTGCTTGGTTCCAATTTCCGACAGCAAAATCATTATTTCTGTTGCTCGCGGTAAAAGTAGGCAAGGTTAAATAAACCTTGCGAGCACAAAGACTGCCCCTCTACAGCGAGCAGCACTAGTTAAAAGAGTGGGGAATGGGTAAATTATTGTACCAAATGGCTGAGAATTAATCTCCGATGACGAGCTGCAATCTAACGAGGCATCTGTGTCCCAGGGAAGCCGCAGCATGTCCCTGGCGGTATGTGCAGTGCGGAGCCTGCCTGGCATGCTTTGTCCCCTCTCGCAGGCAGCTTTTCCTCTCATTGTTCCCAATATCCTCGTGCATCTGTGACGCGTGGAATGCATTCACACTAACAGACTTACTATTGTCTTCCCTCCCAAGCTTTGTCGGGCAAAGACTGCAGCACGGTTCCCGATAATTATATTGCTTAATTAATCAAGACAAAAAAAATTTGCAAATCATTGCCCGGTTGCCAAGCAGGGAGATCAAAAATGAAAACAATACAAGCTGAAGCAACATAACAAAAGTAACAGCTATCTGATCAGAAATTCTTCTATAATGAAGCTATTAATGCTAAAGCGGTTAATGTTAACATTGCTCCAGGTGTCTCTACTTGGCTGCAAACAAAAAGGCTAACATTATGGATATAAAAGGCCAAATGTTGCCATGGATTCTGTAACCTGATAGAGAGGACAGCCTTTTCATTCGATTAGGGAATGCAATTTAAATGCCAGGGACTGAAGCCAAACAACAGACATTTCTCTCTGCAAGGCTCGTTCATTCACCCTGGGGTCAGTAGCTGGTGAACAAAAGGTCAGCCACACTTGCCCTGGAAATGTCTGGATTAATTTTATTACATTGTAATGGTTTGTACTTTAAATGTAGGGATAACACTAAATTTCCAGTTAGCTCTTATTCTGGCTGCCCGTTGGGGGGTTTTGACTAATATGTAAGATGACACAGCTTTTCTCCATCGCTCCAGAGAAGTCTCAAGCGTGCTCCTAGCGCTGAATTCTCATTTCCCTGATGGAACATTAAAAGCTAAAACGTGCGAACGCGAAACCGCACAGCTCAACACCGAGCCCAAGGAAAAAAAAAAAAACCCCAGCAACCCACTATTAGAAAATTTTCAAGTTTGAAACGTCAACTGACAAAGCACTGGGTGCCAATATCCAACAGCTCCGTCATTCACAGCTCAAAAAGTGTCCACAGCTGGTCAATGCGGGATATGATGGAGGCATGTACCACAGCTGGCTACTCCCTCGGACAAACAGTGTCCCTCGTATATGGCAAAAGGTATTTATCACACCGATTACTTTCACAAAGTATATTTTATGCATATTTTTGCATCCATAATGTACCAGACGAGCATTTACTGAAGCGGCTTTTTCGCACACAAGCACAGATGTACGTGCACGCACCTCTGACGTTTTGCAAAAAAAAAGTGTTTTTTTTCCAAAAAACGTCTCGAGTGTGAATCTCCCATGGTTTGTTTTGATGACGGGATGTGCAATGCCTGCATCATCCCAGCAGTCAGGTGATGGTGGCGGTCCCACGGACGCGTGGGGCTCTGCTGGGTGCCACGAGCACAGCAGCGACCCCACACCACCAGAGGAACTCAGATCGCGAGTGCTCTGCCTCGGCGGAAATTCACGAGGGTTCAAATGCTGCTCTTTGCCCCGCAACTTCTGCGGGCTGGGAGTTCTGAGGTGCTCCTCTCAGCGCCAAGGATGGCTGCAAAATGAACGAGCAGCCACTCTGATCACCGCCAGTAACTCCAGATTTAGAGTTAACTCACGGCTCAGCTCATTTTCCAGCCGAGACGGACAGACTGATTTCCATCTCCCTGGGGAAAAAACAGCCCCCAAACCGAACCACCGGGCCTCGCTTACAGCACCAGAGCCGCCGCTCCCCGCGCAGCACCAGAGAGCAGCCAGGACCCACCTCGGGCTTCTTCATGATCTCGATGAAGAACATGCGGTTCTTCATGGGGTAGATGACGATGAGCACGTCCCCAAAGTCGGTGGGGATGATGCCCCTGCGGTAGTTGCGGGTGTGCTCGGACCACACGATGTGAACCTCGTCATTTCCCAAGTGACGGAGCTGCAACGGCAAATTGGCTCTTTATTAATCCCAGCGATAACCGCGCCGCGCGAGGGGTCACGGCTCGCAAATTGAATTACAATGCTCGATAGCAGCAATATTTCATTACAGAAAAGTTAAAATATTGTTTTTCTCCAGTTGCTCATGAAAGCATCAGCTCAATAATTTGCTTCATTTAGAACTCATTGTTGTCTGATGGCTTAATTAAGTCATTATCAAACTAGCCATTAGCACGATATGTAAATGTACATTACCTACAGTGATTTAAGACGGAAAACTGAATTACTGGAACAAAGCATTAACCAACGGAGCATCGTATTCCAGCTAAAATAAGGCAGCTGTCACAGAAATATGAAATGCCTTGACTCGGAACGTCAAGAAAGTGCCTGTCGTGAGCCACTATAACTGAATTTATTATCCACAAACATCTCCTCTCTGCCTGTGTCTGGAGGGGGCTCCTGCCTGAAACGTCAGCAAAATATCTGGGCAGTGGGAAGTACATTAGAATGGGAGATACTGTGGCAGTTACATCTTTCCCTTTGGAGCAGAGCTGCATGAAATACAGATAAAATTTAAACATGAGCACACAGAAAGCATCCCAGAGCCTGTGTGTGTGTGTGTGTGTGTGTGTGTGTGTGTGTGTGTTTGCTCTGCTGCTGGAGGAGCTGGAGGTGATCTAACAGATGGCAAAAACTATTTGGCAATCACGTACAAGCCTCACACAATGGTTTCAACTGTAAGCTTTAAAGTTAAAATGTAATCCACACGCAGAATGCCAGCTCCGAGCATAAAGAGAATTTAAGTCCCACTTAAAGCTTAAAAGACACCCCCCACCCTCCAATTTGGTGCTACCCCTGGAACAATGTGCACAATAGACCGAACAAAGAAGCCAAAATGAAGCTCTGCTACTTCACTCTGTGTGGGGGGAGAGAAAAAAGGGAGAAGAAGGTGGTGATTTTCACTGGTAAATAACAACTAACCCCAACGCGCTTTGGATCAGCCCACACTGTGCTGATGAATCTTCCCTATTCAGAACCAGGAAAAACTTTCACTCCTACATACTGGTGCCAAACCGGACCCCTCAGTCACGAGAAATGTGGCGAAACCAACACCTTGTGAAAAATTAAAAAAAAAGTTACAGCTGTGAACTTGGCTTACAGCTCACGTTCCAGCAGAGTGAAGTAAAGCTCAGATCTCAGAAGGACTGAGATTCTCAGTTTATTTTAAACAAAACAGAAGATAACAATTGTGATTTATTTACACCCATGAATAAAAGGTAATTTTAGCTCTGTTTGAAGGAAACATGAACCATTTTTGTCTTGGAAAAACACAGGAACACTAACAATACTATTAGCAGAGCTTCTTACATGTACGAAGCAAGTAGAAATTGCTGTTCTTGTGGCCACCTTAATATCTGTGCAGAAGCTCAGCAAAAACCAAGCAGCACAAAGGAAAACACTCACCTTGGGAATGCCATGAACTGACAGGCACCAAAGGCAGCAGAGATTTACACACAGGACAAAACCCTGACCTCGCTCTCCGTGACCAGGTGCAGCCAGGTCACCTCCAAAGCCATCAGAAGCGAGATGTCAAGTTTAGCCTTACACAGCCTGAAGCCCATCTGCTGAGGAGCAGCATTTGTGCCCAGCAGGTCCCGGATGCTGGGGGTGCCTGGCCAGGCTGTCCCACGGCAGCACCAGCCCAGCCCAGCTCCAGGAAGCCCCACCAGGCATTGGGAAGAGCCCACGAGTGCCAGCTCTGGTCCAGCACAGAGAGTCCAGGGTGGTGGCACCCGGCAGCCTCTGCTGCAGGAAGCCCAAGAAATCATCGTGGACACGGATTTCCACGAGGCAGAGGGCCATTCACAAACCCAGCCCAGCTCCTCAAGGAAAGGCTCTGTGCTGCCATGCCTCCTGTGGCTTCTGGGGTGAGAAACAGCACATGCTGCTACAGAAACACTCATCAAAATATGCCCAAATACTGCTCCAGGGACCCTTGTTAAAATCCCAAGGAACTGTTCTGATGATAATCGAACGTTCTGTATTGATCTTGCACCCTTCGGAACAAAATTCAGTGAAGAAGGGCACTCAGCTGAACCAACACTTGCTGTGCTCACGAGCCTGCCACAATCCCCAGCGTGTTCCAGACTTGATTCAGAGCTTGAGTTACTGCCCTTGTTTTGAAGCCACACATCCTTAAGCAGCACGCTTACGAGGCATAACGTTACAAAGGAAAAATTGGCATTAATCAAAAATATTTGTTATTGAGAGATAACTCCATTGATAAGAAGCCGTTAGGATAATCTCATCAGTGACAATAAGCCAGCTGCTATTTCCCTGTGTTTTTTATTCAGAACAGCAGCTGTGGGGCAGACTCAGTGCCCCAAAGGACTGCAGCAAGTTGTGCTGAAATGTCCAAAGCCCCACGGACGAGGCGTACGGAGCCAGAGCTCCAGGCTGTGCTCTCCTCCCAGTTTAGGGGTGGGGGGAATAAAGAAAAAAGCTACGTTAAAAAATGCCACAGCAGCCAGGAAATCAGCTTGGTTTTGAGAGCAAGCCCCGACAGCGGTCTGGGGCGATGGCTGTGCACCCGCTGCGAGGGAAGGCAGCCGTGCACTGCAGCGTGTCCTCCCCGCCCCACGGGAGCTGGGGCTTGGCTAACGGGGCTGGGACACTGCCCCAGGCCTGAGCCAGCCCCACCGTGCTGCTCCAGAGCTCCAGCCCCAGAGCTCCAGCCTCAGATCCAGCCCCATCCCCAGAGCTCCAGCCTCACATCCAGCCCCATCCGCAGAGCTCCATCCCCAGAGCTCCAGCCTCATCCCCAGAGCTCCAGCCCCAGAGC